TATATATTGGATATCAGCCAAAAATTTAATATTGTGCATCCCTAGTATAAGCTGTTGTATTTCTGGTTGTATGTACTTTAAAGATCATTTATATTCAAATAAAAAGTAGTCAATCCTAAAATCTATAAAGTGACGTGATTATGAAAACCTTTGCTTTCAGTATTTGGTATAACCCACTTGTGCAGTGCAAGCTGCAGCTAAAACGTGACAGTAGATCAATCTGCAGAACAGACTGGAGGTTAAGTTCATTCCTATGAACAGAACAGCTCTATATCTAGTTTTGTTGTTTGGTTTTCACACATGAACTGTTCTACCATGTTCCTTTAGAGTTGGCTGGATCATTTCAGAGTCAGTTGTTTGTTCATTAATGCCACAGGCCCAAACCACCATACTATCACTACTGTGCTTCATAGATGGGGTACAGCTCTTACATTTTAAGTGATGTTTGTTTGTTTCTTTTCTTTTAAATGTAACACTTCATCTCAACATAACAATGACATAAATAGCAAAACATTTTCCAATAAATTTCTAACCCATCCCAACTGTAAACACAATAAACTAAAGAACTACCTGTTTCCACTTGAACTATCTCCTGTTGAGTTATGTGCAATGTTTTATTTTAACTTTAAATAACGTCTATTTTAAAATGCTTACATACTATTGCCACTTAAAGGTCTTTAATAGCCAGTCAATTTTAGCAGTGTACAATTATATACAGTGTACATATGATATTGCATCATGAAAGAAATGTACTGGGTAAATGGTATATTTATTAATGTAATTCTTGGTATAAAATTTGGTTTGAAAAAATGATCATATACCTTCTAAAACCTGCACTGTTTATCACATCTTCTGCTTGTTATCTTTGTGTATCACACTCTTTCCAGACAATCTGAAATGTTTTGTGAAAGTACCACTAAAAGCTTGACAAATGTCAGAACCAATCATCCATGCACATTCAGGTGGATCATTTGTCAGTAAAGAAATTGTTCATGTGACATGCATATCTCAGAGCAGGCAAAAGGTAAACAAAAAGTTTTCTATGCATGTCACTATGAATTTCACTCAATGGAAATGAGATGAAGCCGAGTTACCATGAACAGATACTTACTTCAGTTGTGGAGAGCCACCTCCAGACGGGCTGTCCTGACTGGGCTTCTGGGGCAGCTGAGGCTTTTGCTGCAAGGAGGGTCTTCCTCCTGGGCCCCCCTGGCCTTGAGCAGCTGGTCTTGGCTGCTGGGTGGTGGGTGCTCCAGGACGACTTTGCTGACCAGGTGCCTTCTGTTGCTGTGACCCTCCCTGAGACTGCTGTCTTGGCATTTGGGCAGGTCTCTGTGGCTGTGGTGGTCCACCAGAAGCTTTCTGGCCCCCAGCAGAAGGTTTCTGTTGGGTTACAGACTGTTGCCTCTGAGCTTGAGGGGAACTTCCTTGGCTTCGCTGAGGAGCACCCTGACCTGGAGGTCGTGGTTGGGGTGAGGGTCCCTGGTTAGCCTTAGCCTGGGAGCTGGAGTCACCAGTACCAGGACTGGCAGCAGATTGCTGAGCAGGAGGTTGGCCTTGAGGTTGTGGGCGCTGCTGAGTTGGGGGACTTTGCTGAGGACCGCCTAGGAATAACAAAATAATTAACCAATACATTATTTATATATATATA